ACAAGAAGCAATACAACCTAAAACATCAATTCAGAAATATTAGATGACCGGCCTGTGAAGCGGTTAAAGAAAGAAGCTACCACTCTGAATGAGGGAGCTTCCCAAGTCTAGAATGTGTAGTTTTATCTACCGTCCAAATTTGTTTGTCATATCTTAGTTGTTTAGACGTCAATGAGTTTTGTAACTAAACACTTGTTTTTAATAATGTCTTGCAAAATTTTGTTTTTGTCATCATTTTGGACGTATCTGACAAGGCATATTTCAGCGCTTCAGTCCTCTCAAGTGTGATTGGAATGGCGTAGCTGAGAATTCATGTGTGATCTTAGAGATCTAGAACAACACATTTCAATAAAAAACTTCCTCTTGAAGAAGTCAAGGCAGCTTTCATTGGTCACTTGTCACCATCCAACATTGCTGAGTGTAACTCCTTAACCCAGGAGTCAGGAACACGCAGCTCCAGAGCCACATGTGGCTCTTTTACTGCCCTGCTGCGGCTCCACAGCAGAATTTTTTCAGATAAAATAAAATAATCCTCTGCAGTAAAATAAAGCTCTTCTTCTGCAGTTTTAACAATAAATGTTCTTAAATGCTGGAGTTAATGTAAAACTGCTAATTCACCCTTTAACCCTGAAGGTTGGCGTGCAGACTGCTGGTCACCATAGCAACACAGAAAACAATCTCACCTAGCTAGTAGCTACCGAAAAGGCAAAGAGAGAGATTTAAGACGAACATTGATAATTTAGAGACGAATGGACTTATTTGTATTTATAAGCACTCAGCTGGTTTTCTGATACATTTAATCTGCACCAAGAAACTGTCTAACACACTAACTTGCTAACTTCTCATTCGCCAGCTTCTTGTTCGAATTTTCCCGTTCCAATGATGCAGCAGTTACATTCTGGTGCTTCAGGCGACATTTAAGATGGAACAGGAAAATTCCAATTAATAAGCTGACGAATGAGAAGCGACTTCAGCCTCGTAAAAAAAACGACCATTGAGAGACATTTTACAAGAACCTATTCTACTTTTGTTTCCTGCCGGAGATGCGAGAAAAGCAGCTATAGCTGAGCTAAAGCTTAAAGCAGAGCAAAGTAAGTCTGTGTTTTCGTTTATATTATATTTTTTAGCCTATACTAGTACATCAGCACATACTGAGACATATTTATGGCCAAGATGTTAAAATGGACCTAAATTTTTGTGGCTCCCAAGGTGGTTTGATTTTTGTTGAAAGGACAGAATGGCTCTTCTTAATATTTGGGTTGCCGCCCCCTGCCTTAACCCTATCGAACCTAACATCTCAATAGCAACACATTCAGAGACTTTGGTAAAGTCCATGTTTTTCATTCAAAAAAAGTAGTTGGGCCACAGAAAATTCCAGCATTCTGTGTGCACTTTATAAAAGAAGCCCCATACTGCCTTTATTGTTGGATGCACTGTAGTAAGTTCTGAGCGAGTGTGCGAACACGTTCAGAATGGAATTCAGATCGCAACGCTTACTTATTTTTGAGTTTTCTTACTAATGTGTTTGATTATTTAAAAGAGTAATTTGATCATTTGTACCAAACAAAATATGAATCTACAAGCTTTGTTTAGTCATGTTCTTTGTATAAAAAATAAATACAGTTTCACATTGGGCATATATTATTACAGGAGGCAGATGAAGAGGCAGAAATAACTGCTTTTTGGACTGCACGTTGAAAAAAAGTGAGTAAATGCAGCAAACAGGTGAGAATGGAGCACCTGTCTCTAAAGACAGACTGATGAAGTCTGTAGACTTTTAACATGGGTCTTCCATGACATGCATGAGAAGAGGCACTATTTCTGACAAATGGTCCTACTGTACTCCTTGTACCGGCTACAGATGGGGAAGGAACCCGCTGGAGTTGCGACTAAGTGGTAAAGGTCAGCTCAGCTCCGGAGAAGTGGTGATTTACCTGACCATGCTAGTTTTGAGCTCAGAGAGTGCTGGATTGATTAAGTGGCAGTTTGATTGATATAAGTTGTGATTACCTGTTAAAGGTCAGAAAGATGCAGGTAATTGGGAACACAGGTGCGTGCATACACTCACAGATTCACACAGCAGACCTCAAAATCGTAAAGATTTCCTATAGGATTCTGCTTAGGGGTACAGAGCTCTGACCTCGCAATTCGATTCAGTTATGATTCATGATTTGATTGGTTTGATGATGCACAATATTTGGATGCCATATCTGTTTTGGCCAGTTTTAGTCGTCAGGTTTGGACTGATGCTTAGCAGTTTTGCACCCCATTTCTGCTGCATTGGTGAAATATCCTCAGTTAGCGCCCTACCCCCACCTCGATTTCTTTCTCTCTCTTTCTGTTCCCTTTTCCCGTCTCTCATTCTCTTTCTCTGTCTGGCAAGTTTAATGAGAGGTCCATTACCACACTGCCAGAGAGAGGAATGCAGAGAGCTCTCATTGGCCTCAATTAGCACTAACATGTTTAACCATCAGCTCAGCAAGTGACTTAGGAGAGCTGTGTATGTCTGTGTGAGCGTTTTCAGTTGTTTCAATTGCAGGCAGAAACTGTACAATTGGATAATCAGCCCAGTCCACCCCACAATAATGCTGATGTTCTGTTTTACACCTTTTTCTAAAATGGTGCTGAAATGCTATATTAATTGTTTTGTAGTTCTTGAGGCATCATTCCGGAATGCCTGATGACAAGGTTTAGATAAGGTTTAATGTATATCACTTGTTTATTAAATATATATGTTAAATTGTGTTAATTGTTATTACTTATGTGCAAGAGATTGATGTAACACGTAAACAATGTTAAAGTTTCAAAGCTTATCGTCCACCTCCCAGTCCAATACATATGTGGTAACTAAGCTGCAAAAGTAGCCCGATTTGAATTCGGTCTTTTCACGATGTGACAGAAAATAATGCATTTACATATACATATACACCAGCATATACACCTGTTCAGTCTACAGCGGATTAGCTCTGCCCATTAATGATGAAGGTATAAAAAGTGTTTCAGCCTGGACTGCTTTTTGAAAAAGGCAGCCAATCAGAACAAAGATCATTTACATATGTCAGTATTAAAAGCACAGTAGCTATAACAGACTATTGAATTCTAAAGGATTAAAAATTGGAAAACGGTTGTGTAAAAATAAAATGTTACTGTTTTTGATGCATAAATCTAATTATAAATTGACCTCAAGGGAAAAAACAAAATACAAGAAAATTGTTGTAACATAGGGTGAACAGAACACAAGGCAGGATGCATGTGCGAGTTCGTAATATTAGAAACCCTAGAAAATAAAAAGAGAAAAATGAAAGGACCGAAACACAAAGAAAGCAACGAATGAAACAGAACTAAAGAACTAAACTTAGCAAACAGGAAAAATGAAAGGAAGAGCATGATAATCAGCTCATGAACACAAGAGGAAATAACAGCACACCAAAGCTACAACTGAACAAACGACAAACAATGCCAAACACAAGATAAAAACAAAGGGTATATATACTGGAAACACCAACAAGAAACACCTGATTGATTACTGGGCGGAGTTATAACACAAGACACAGGTGAATGTTCACTTTCCCAAACCAAATTTCTGCTGTCCCGAACAAATCTTTGTTTTTTAAAGCATTATTCAGATATAAATGAGCACACGTAAGCTAATACATTTAGTCAAGGTTATTTATTCTTAAAACAAGTGTGCATTCTCACAGCATACTTTCACTTGTTTTCAGTGAATATTATAACCTTTTTTTCAGCAATTCATGTTATTTTTAAGACTTGGCTCTTCAGAAAGCCAGAATTCCAGATTGAAACACAGTGTTTAAGATTTGGCTGCCATGGATGCTTTGAAGGATCTTGACAAATTAACATTAGCATTTGCATGCGTAAGTTGGAAAATATTACCTTCTGTGCCATGCTGGTACAGTACTGGCTACTATGTTCCAGTCCACTTTTTTTCTCTTCTAATGTGCTGACTAACTCGGTCATTTTGGAATCTGTTTTGCTGTTCATCCATCGAATGAACATGTCCAGCACCTTTTTCTGCTACTATACATGCAATGAGACATGACACTCGAATGACTGTTTTGTAAAAGTTGTAGTTCTAGACTTTTGGTTGCCTTATTAGGATATTCCCTATAAACTTTGCAGAACATCTGAAGTACAGAGGGATCAAGGTTTCTGCTATGTGTTCGCTCTTCGCCAAATTTTCCCTCTTCAATCTGTTGTCATTTGTCAACAAATAATGTGATTGGTTTGTTTTGATCTTTTTCTGCATGTTGAGAGGTTTTAATTTTCAAGTGAATTGCGCTTGACCCCAGTTACAATGTTCTGTTAACTTAATGTGCTCCAACCCCAACATAAACTTACCCAACAGGGCAAGTGATTTATTCATACTGCTGTCCCAACGTTGCATTTTACTTGCCCTGGGCATTTGAGCAGTCGTTATTGTTGATGGCAGAGATATGGGGGAAGAAAAAGAAGGGAAAATAGACAAAGACAAGAACAGGGTAACAGAGGATGGTACAATTAAATGGGCCCTTTGATAGCACGTTTTCTGACATATAAATCGGCCAACTTTGTAGGCAATCATGATATGTGAAATCTGTCAGTGATTCATGGTACAAGCCTAGTGTGTGTGTAATGTATCTGTGAATTTTTTTTTGCGGTGTGTGTGCGTGTCCTGGGGGAAAGGCAGAGCGCTGACAGGACACACACTGCTCACTATCTTCCACTCTTCAATTACGTCCGTGATTACACTGCTCGGAACCTTCTGGCTATTTTGTAAAACTTGTCCAGCATGGAATTTCTTTTGCTATTCAATGATGGTTTGATTGGGCTGGGTTTTTTGGCACTGATGTGTGGGTGTCCAGAAGTTCTTTGATGTTTGTAATGTCAGCAAGTGTCAGTTCACTGTGCCTCAGGACCAAATGGGTCTGCAGATTATGTATTCTGGATATAGGAAATGAGTATAAAAGTGTTGCTCTAATGTTTCTCTCTCATTCTTGCAGATGGAAGACCTGATTGCCCGGATGCAGGACGAGAAGACTGGGATCCCGATCAGGACAGTGAAGAGTTTTCTCTCAAAGATTCCCAGTGTCTTTTCTGGTAAGACGTGTGGATGGTTGTGCTTTAGCATAGAGAAGGCAGTCCTATGTTGGATCTTCAAGTAGTTCTCACCGAGAACATCACACACCCTAAAAAATCACATTAAGGCTTAGAAATGTTAAATGCTGTAAATGTGAATGTAGAATTATTGTTTCTGTTTTGCTGTACTATAATATTTAAATGCAATTGCATAATTAATTACATAGTTACTTAATACATTACATTTACAATCTGTATCAGCAGGTTCAAGTCAACTTTTCTGACTTCTTTCCATTTATTTCAATGTCAAACTGACAAATTACCACAAAAATGTAATGAATGTTTTTTCTTTCCACACAACAAGACTCTACATACCAGTAACTTTTCATCAAATTTAAATCATAATAAAATATTTCCTCTTCTACTAAGAAACATAAATATGGTGTGGACTGAGAGTTTAGAATCTACACCTTCCACAGAATTTAATTGTTACACGTTGCAAGTATCACTATAGACAGGCACACTCTCAGAAATAAAGGTATGAAACTGTCACTGGGGCAGTTCCCTTCTTGTCACTGGGGTGGTCCCCTCAAGGGTACATCTTAGTACCTTTAGTCAGGGAACATAATTGTATCATATTGCATTGAAATTATATTTTCTAAGTAATTGTATTGCCTCCACACACCCCGTCTCGTCTCCAGGCTTTTTATTTTATTGTTCTGTTTTAAAGCATTAGGTTATGAAAAGGTACAAATATGAACTTTTCACCTGGTAAAAACTTGTTTACGGTTCACATCCGGACCTTAAGACCACTGTTGTACCTTTGAGGGAACATTACATTGTTTGAACCTTGATGAACAAAAACGTACCTGCACAGCACCTTCATACCTAACAGTGCATGTGATAATTCTAATAGTAATAATAGTTATACCTTACTGTGGCTATAGCGATACCTATGACTTCTAAGGTTAAACTTTATCCTATCAAACTGAATGTTTCTCCTCTTTAACTCACCACCAGAGGAGTTAGGACATGTGCATGTTCACGCTGAGTAAAATGTATCTGTTCATAGAATCTGAACTGTGCTGCTGTATAAACATACATACATCACCGTATAAATGATGTGCAAGGCTTCCTTACTGTTGAATGCACTGTGATTTTTTCCAAGTTAACGCCCGAGTTCATTAAGCAATTTGGATTGGTTAGCGCAAATAACTATTTTGTTTAATCTGTGGTGTTAAAATTTTGTGGCTCATGCTGTCCTGTTCAAAAAGGTAGTTTGTGGCACAAATTGGAAATGTATACTTTTTTAGTCTTGCTAGTTGACAGTCTTTACATATCAATCAAATGCAAGAGCAACAAGGAAACACGAGGTTAACAGAGAGAAACAGATTAAACGGGAGAAACAGCTGTATTAAAGGGTTAACTTCTACATTAGAAACTGCAGATTGATGTAGCTACAGCATGCAGAGTTGAACGCTGCTGGAGCTGTTTAACTCTTGTAATTTTGGAAAGGAGAGCTGCACTCAGCACCATAATCCATATTCTTGCATTACGCTAAGCTTTGCTTAAGTGCTGAAAATCGAATGTAAATGCAGAATTAGAAGTAGATGGAAGGAAAGCAAGATGAAAGGAGAGATAAAGAGATGGAGAGAGATATTCTGGGAGTCCTAGAAAGAGCAGATAGCCACTTTCCTGTCCATCAGATCACTCGTTTAATAGAATTAAAATTCCCACTCTCTCTCTCTCTCTGTCTCCCTTTCTCTTACTTTCCATGCCAGCCTTAATGAGGCTCTTTGGCCTTGTCAAAAGTGATTGGTTAGATCCAGATTAGATTTGTAAATGAAGCATTTGATTGGTCGATGAGAGCAGAGAACCACATCTGTCAAACTTGTCTGAGAATGCTGATCTAAGCATCTGCTCTACTCTTCTGTGTAATCACATTCCTGCAATATGAAAGGCAAAAACCAATCAGCACTCACACACTCAGCATTGTCGGAATGCTCAGACCTTCAGGGCTAATAGTCTGTTTTAATATTCAACTTTTCTTCACACATGTGTAAGAATGTTGAGTGGCATAACTTTTTAGCCCTATCTTCACTTGTGATCCTTTCAGAGTCTTTGTCCCTCGTTAAAGCCGTCATCGTTGTGTTTTCTGTGTATTTTTCAACCACTATAAAAGACCCTCCATGCTGCCGTTATTGTTGGATGCAATGCAGTAGTTTCTGAGTGAGCATGTGCACATTTACAACACAATTTACATCACTAGAGAAATTCATTTATTTAATCTGAGGGGCAATAAAAGGCCACTGAAGTGTGACGCGTACTTCTGTTCATGTTTGCTTGCTCAAAATTGGAATTTGTGAACCAAACAAAATAAACTTTATTCCGATTTTTTCTTTACATACCAAAATTGACAACTGCATTAATAAATCACATGAATAATGGAGAAGAGTAGATTAAATTTGACTTTAAAGGGTTAAAAGTTTTTGAGGCATGCTGCTCTCTCAGGCCCATGCACAATCGCTCCACCTGGAGTTTTTTCAGAATGTGTCCAATTGATGGGAAGAAGGTGCAGATTCAGCTCTTAGTGAAATAAAACAGAAGCTTTTCAGAAACTTTGGAGCATTGCCAGACTACATGACTGAGGAAAGGGTAAAGACAGATGAACAGAGTGTGTCTGGATACAAGACTCTCATAAAGAAAACTTTCTCACTCTGGCTTCTTCCTAAATGTGCACAGACTTTGCTACCTTGCACCTACATTCATTGGCCATTTTATCAAAAACACCTACCGGATCAGCAAAGGACTGCTGTTGACAGGGTGTTATGGGGATGGTGGACCATTTTCAAGCAGCACTGCGGGGTTTTTTATATACATCAGTTTCACTACTGGCTGATAAATGGTGCAGCAATAGATGGGCTTCAGGCAGTAGTTGCAAACCCACAAAGTGTACCTATATGATAGGTGCTTCTGATAAAATGGCCAATGTAGGTGTCCTTTAAAGTCCAGATTTTCTAACTGCAGATTTTTTTTTTTTTGTGACAAACTCAGCAGCTTGATGACAAACCAATGTGCCATGACCATGACCACCGAGGTGTGTTGAGAACAGTCTGTGATGCAATTTGCGAGCTTTCGACTATAATTCTCTGCGATGAATCCTGTAGTGTGAGCACCTGTATGACCAATAACAATAGCAGTGATAGGCAGTAGCCAATGAGAGAGCAAGAAAACTCTGCGAGAGCAAGTCACAAGCAAACAAAACAAAAACAAACATAGTGAGGGGTTATTGAAGAAAAAAAATCTGTGAACATTGATCAAGGCTGCTGCTTACCTCCCTTATGGCTCCTATTCAGAGGGGATTAGTATTCCATGGGGAGGTGTGGTAATGACAGTTTACCTCAGGACATCTGTTACGTTTATGAACAATTTACACAGGATAAGACATTTTGGTCTTTTTGACAGAGATGGGAGTGGCTACTCGATTTACACGCCCTCTTTACTCCAGAAAAGAGAGGAAAAGATGTTAAAACATTTAATTAAGTCAGTATTTTGTTTACCCTAACCAATTACCGTGCTGTTTTAAGTGAATACAGTGCGTCATTAGCATCACCATTAACTTCAGTTAGTAGTAATTAGTAAGTAAATTTACAGCCAGCAGTCAACTTTACCACGTCAAATCAATGTTTTTTACTGTGATTTTTATGTTCTGAGTTCTATACATAAGACAGGATGGTAATGTGCACATCAGCCTGATTTTAGCCACAGAGAACAACGAGGCTGAACTCAGCTTCTTGTCCGCCAGCTTCTTGTTTGAATTTTTCCGTTCCACCTTAAGTGGTGCAGCAGTTACGTAATAATTAACGGCTGCACCATTTAAGGTGGAACAGGAAAATTTGAACAGGAAACTGGCAAATAAGAAGCTGACTTCAGTTTCGTCACAGAACACAAGTAAGTGTGTCTTTGATCCTCCATACTTAAGAAACTCCTGTTCCACATTATATGATAGCGTTTTCACTGACCTGTCAATTTGTACAGAATTAATATAACCTGCGGTCATTTTTAGGCTCGTTTTACAGGACGTAAAAGGCAGTGGAGTCTGTACTGACGCGAGAACGCGCAGTCGGTAAAAATGACTGACATGGCACTTTCGGACGGGACTAAAATCACTGAGAAGCGCCGGTAATAATTACTTTACTCTACCTCCCCATATAAAGCTAATCCTGTCCAAATAGGGCTTTTAAAGCATTGACACTCTGTGCTGGCAAAGGCACTCGTGTTCTCTGAGGACCAAGGAAATGATTTTGTCGGCAGTTGCGCTTTGTCACGGATCTCTCTAGGTGAAAGATGATGTAGTGTGTGAGAATAATCTGCAGTGGCTCATGTAGTGTGCACTCTCCTACATGCAGGTAACAACAGTTCACAAGAGATGAATGTCATGTAGTGTGAGCAGTACAGCGATTCTGAGAGTTTGAAGGCTGTGCAGGGTTTACTCGCCTTCATTAACCTTTTAAGGCTGAAGTGGTTTTATCTGCTCTTCTCTGTTGTTCATGTGATTCCTCATTGTTGTTGCTGCATTTCTTTGTTATATAAAGAATGTGATTGTATAAAAACTCAAATTCAAAGATTTTTATTGTGTATGTCTCACAAACTACCTTTTTATAACAAAAAAAAATACAAGTAGGAATATAATGGCTTTTTCATCCAACAGTACCATACAGCACTGTGCGGTTACATATCTGACCCCACAACTCTCTGTGCCATAGTTGATTACCTATGTCCAGTCCCAGTGCATAACAGAGCAATTAATGTAGGTGGAGTTCTTTGTGGCTTGTGGGGTCACATGATTTCTAGCTCAAATGTGGTATTAACAGTAAACACTGTTAACAGCAGCAACAGTGAAGGAGCTTCAAGTTCTGTCTTACCTTTTACTAAATGTTTGGTTTTATGTGAGAGTCACAGACAGCAATTTCGGCTAGCTAGTATATTTTTTTTAAATGGCGGCTGTGACGATTTGAACAATCAGTGGTTTGGACCTTTACAAACTCCACCCATATGTTCCATCTTGGCATGCTTGGTATCCCAGTGAGAAGGGTAACCAAATTCAGTCCAGGTTCTTGGGTACATTATGGTTTACATGGCAGTAGATATGACAACAGAATGCGTAATTATGGATTTGTATAAGTTACACATCAGATGCATTTCACTAGCCATGTTTACATGCAGTCTGATAATCCGTTAATAATCCCACTAATAGCTCCGTCCCACCTCTTCCTCTCACCTGTCTTTAATAAGTACATGTGAGGTAAATTTTCCTGAGTCTGACATCATTTTAAAGTGATTAAAAACACAAGCGCTGCTCACTGCTGCTCATCTCACTCTCATGGGACTTACATGATGCTTGTTGTCATGGTAACATCTACACTAAGTGGTTCTCTACACATGCGCATAATTTTGGATCGGATTAGTTGTAGTGCGCATATAAGCGGAGATTTTCCATCAGATTGTTGAGTAGAGTGTTAATAAACACCTCAGTCTTATCTATAATCTATAATCGGATTGGCAAAAATCTTTGCTTGTAAACACAGCCTGTAGCCACGTTTACATGCAGCCTAATAATCCGTTAATAATCTGACTAATAGCTCAATCGGAATAAAATACGTCCATGTGAAGACCTCAGTCAGACTAGACTAGTCCGATTGAGGCCATTTGGAATACCGATTGAACGAGGTGGATAATCCTGTAAATAATTTGTTAAATAGAAGAATAATAGTCATGTAAATGCCTGTTTCTGTATTATAACGTTCAACATGGTGGGAGCAGAAACTGGTCTGCAGAGGAGACGAAGTTTAAAAGACGGCGGTGGGACGGGCATCCATCTTATGTGTCTCAGAACTTCCTTAATAAGTACATGTGAGGTACATTTTTCTGAGTCAGACATATTTTTAAAGCAATTAAAACCCAAGTGTGCCAACTGAAAACTCATCTCACTCTGACTGGACCTCACGAGATGTTCACTGCCATGGTAACGTTTACTCTAAGTGGTACACCACGCATGTGCGTAATTTTGGATTGGATTACTTGTAGTGCACATGTAAACAAAGATTTTCCATCAGATTGTTGAGTAGAGTGAGCATAAACACCTCAGTCTTAATCTGTAATAGGAATGTATTCCATCGGATTGGCAAAAATCTTTGAGTGTAAACAGCCATTGTGTTTCTCAGGTTAAACAAAATGGTAGCAAGCATTTACTCATCTGAACTGCGCACTGAGTGAGCTCGTGCATTTGCTTGGAAAAAAAATCCCATTACATCCAAAAATAAAGGAAGACTCATGTATTGTTTATATGGTAATAGAAAACATGATAGCGTAAAGAAAGCACTGACCCTACACGCTGATACATTTCACTGTGGTCAACGTGCACATGTACGCAGCGCGAGTCCTCTGGCAGCAGATTTATAAAGAGAGCTAAAAGGGCCACTGCCAAATTTTCAAAATGGATCATCTGCAAAACACTTGGTTTGATGGGGTTAACTGGCAAATCTATGTGTGTGTGTGTGTGTGTGTGTGAGTGTGTGTGTGTAAAGCAATGGAGATTATGTTGCTCTATGCTTTAATGATTCATCATTAATCCATGTGATAGCTTTTCTGTAGCTTCACTTAGAAATCTCTACATCTCTCAAGCCTGTAATCCCCTCAGAGAGAGAGAGAGAGAGAGAGAGAGAGAGAGAGAAATAAGTAATAAGTATGAAGCAGGGGGGTTGATAAGCATCTGAAGGTAGAAAATGATGGGTTGAAGTGTCCTGAAATGCCATCCACTCTTATCATTTATCACTCCTTATCCAGATTGAGCCGTTAAACAGGCATGACGAAACCTAAAGTTCATCTGTTTCTGTGTCTGAGACGTTTAAATTTGTATCCTGTGCAGTTTCTGCCTCTGGTGGTCCACTGAGTCCGTTTTTTATGCAGATGTGTACTGACCCACATGGACCACATGCGTGTCTTTATTAGTGGAGCGGTATACTTGCTGACATTTAAAAGTCTCGGTCCTCAGGGTGGAAAGTGTGCAAGATTTACGCATGGATAAAAGATTCAGCACACTCTGTATGCTGAGGGCCTACTTCTCAAGGAACATTGGTGAAATATTCTGAGCTGTGAATATTTCTTTAACCCCTTTAACATGCAGATCCAGACTTCCATACCTCAGTCTTACAATATAAGAATAACTCAGTTTGTACTGTTTTGCATGTAGATGCTGAATAATAAGCCTTAGGATGTGATGAGTCTGGGAATTCAAGGGGTTAAAACTGTATTCAGGAGCAGCAGAAAGAGCAACATAGTTGTCCCTCGACTTATTTGGAGTTAACTAACTGGTAGTATGATGTGTTAACTCTGTAGGTTATTATTTAGCTTATTAACAAGACTTATTATTTACAGCTGCTGTAATTTTTTCGATAACTGCTATGAACTTAATATATATGTTACATACTAAAGAATTGGCCCACATAGAGGCCCTTAGAGTTTAAGAGTTAACATACTGTGCTGTACTGTTATACTTTAAATGATGAAAGAACTAAAGAAAATCAAACTACCATTGTAAGTATTTTTAAAAAGAACTCAGATTACATCTTTCTGACACCCAACACTGCTACAGGCCCTCTTCATGCAGTGACGCAGGCATCATATACAATCCTGGGGGAGGTCTCAGAACAAACCTGGTGCTTAGGATTTCTGTTTAGCAGCTGTCATGTAGTGAGTCAAACGAATTGGTGCAGCTCACCATTAAGAGCCAGCTCTTCATTCAGTAGCATAGACTTTTTATTGCTCCCAATATTAGCCAAGTTAGCGATAAAACTGACCATATATTTTTCAATAAAACTATAAAACTATAAAAAAAATAATAAAACTACAATAAATGTACCTTCTTATTAACAAACAACGCATTTTGTTATTTTAAAAAGGTATTTTTAGTAGTTTCATTGCATGAATTTTTATAATGTTCAGGCAGAGCTGGAATATTCCTATCAGAGCCAGGAGGGGGTCCTGTAATTTTCAGCGTCATAAGATCTGTTTTGTAATAATTTACCTGAAAAATTAAAAATATACTGCCTCCTCAGTGCAAACTGACTCTCAACATTGACCTAAAGAACCAAATCAAGAGTCGACTCGCTTGCGAACGACACATTGTTCGTACAAACTCAAATCACCACATCGTTGTGGCTAAACATTGTCACTTTCTTGTTCAAAGTATGCTTCCAGCTTTAGATGCTGTTTGAAACTTTCTTACATTGCAGCTTTTGAAGCTTTTCAGTAAGAGAGAGGCAGTGGTCTGGCACCTTTGTTAAAGCTGCACTTTTATTAATGTTTCTGTTTATTTATCATCATTGTTGTTGTGAGGTTAGATATGAGTTTTGATCACAGGAGTTTTGCATTTGTAAATTATATTTATTTACTTAATAACCTAAACCAGAGATTCCTTAATAATGTGTGTGAAGTTCACCAGGCTGTACCACTTCACTCATAAAGTGCTTGACAATTAGCTGTTGATTTGAGCCAGGTGTTTTAGAGCAGGAATAAACTAAAGCCAGCGCATCGTACTTTTTAATGTTTCCCCCGCTCTAACACACCTGATTCAACTCACCAAGTAATTATGAAGTCCTTCATGAGCTGAGAGAGGTATATTAGAGCAGGAAAAACGTTAAAATGGGCCAAAGCAATGCGAATTACGTTCTGAATGTGTACACACTCGCTCAGAACCTATCAAAGTGCATCCAACAATAAAGGCAGCATTGTAGTTCTTTTACGTAGCGATAAACCATTGCAGCAAACTCCAGTTCTACATGCTGATCCAATTTACTTTGACCAATGTGGACATGCACACGACCTGGGGACATCTCTAAAGTCAGAACATTAGGTTTGATAGGGTTAAAGGTTATCAAAGTGGTTTTACTTTATTGTCCACAATAACTCTTCTCTGTGTTGCCAGGTTCAGACATTGTGCAGTGGTTGGTAAAGAACTTGAACATTGAGGATCAAGGTAAGTGCTAAATATCTTGACCTTTGCTTACATAACGGTAGTAACTAGTTGCATGTACTCTGGTCTAATTGGATTTTATTGCAGCTTTTGATACCATTGATCACAAGATTCTAATCCATCATCTTGAATACTGGCTAGGCCTCTCAGGCACAGATTTAAAGTGGTTTATCAGGTCAATCAGTTTAGTTAATAGACAACTCATGGTTTCACTGGGAAATCATTCATCCAAAAAATTAACATTTCTTGTGGAGTCCCACAAGGTTCAGTTTTAGGGCCTTTGCTTTTTGTACATGTTACCTCTTGGTGATGTCATTAGGAAACATAATATAAATTTTTATAGCTATGCTGACGACACCTAATTATACACTCCCATTCCTTCTGATAATCAAGACTCTGTGGTCAGGCTGACCAGCTGTGTGTCACTGATTTCCTACAATTTCTCAGTGGATGCCACAAAATTTTCTACAATTAAATCGCGAAAAAATTGAAATACTGATCATTGGTACTAAAACTCAGTTTAGGCTGCTTTATAAAAAGCTTGGTTCTTTAGCTTCATTTACCAAAGCTGAAGTACAAAACCTGGGTGTGATCTTAGACTCTGAGCTCTGTTTTATCGCGCTTGTAAACGCAGTCACTAAAGTAGGTTTTTATCATTTGAGAAATGTCAAAGTTCGGCCTTTTCTATCTCAGAGCAATGCAGAGAAACTTTCAAAAGAAAGAAATACATCCTCTACAAAATGCATCAGCATCCAAACATTCTCTTTACCTTAGCATTTAATTAAAACTCTGTGTTTCTTGGTATTTATCTTTTTGATTTGATCTGTGTCATTTTCTTATGATTTTAAATTAGTACTCATAATTTGTTGTGTTACTGTTAAGCTTTATCACCTGTCTGTAAAGCACTTTGAGCTGCCATCAGCATGAAAAGTGCTATAAAAATAAAGATTATTATTATTATTATTATTATTATTATTATTATAATAAAGGCTGTCAGGATCTGCACCATCTAGAACCCGCAGAATACCCTCATTCATAAGTTTAGCATTAGCGCCAAGGTGCTAGTATCAGCATCTCAAGTTTCTTCTTTATCGAATCAGAGGAAGACAGAGGGCCATTTTGGTTATTTGTGGGAAGCTGGCTGTTGTAGAGAGAGCAGCTAATGTTACTCTTAGAGTTATAGTTACTGTGTGAGCAGGGATCAGTTCTCCTGACCACTCGCGCTCAAGAGCCAAATCTCATAAAGCATCACTTCTCAGCCCAGTATACAGCCTTTGGTTTGAGGTGAATCAGCCCTTCTGCACTTCAGTCTCTCACTCTGACTCTGTTTCATACTATATATCAATAAATAAAAGTGAGTAGTAGTTACTATGATAAGTCTTAAGATTAATAACTATATATTAAGCCTGCAGTTTAGGGACTTAGAAGAAATGCCAGTTTGAGTACCTAGGCCTCAAAGGACAAAGCAGGTGAATTTCCAAAATGCTGAATTGTTCAGATCTTGGTCCTGAAGTACAACACCTGAGTGTGATCCACTACTGTGACAAGTGTTGTTTTTTTTTTTGTTTTTGCAATAACGCACCCTGTGTTCTATTGCTTTTATAGAACAGTCCTTTAAAATAAAGAACAAGTAAAGCAACAATGCTCTAAACATTGTGTGAAATGTGCTTTAATATTTGCAATTCCTTCCAGCCAAAAAAGAAAGTAGTAACTTTTTGCATTACACTTCACAGCCCATCCCATTTGCCTAATTCTATTCTTTTCTTTTCTGGCTAATTAAAGTTAATTTAGTTGTTCTGTCACAGCTGTCAACCAAAAATTTGTTTAGGGGCAACAACACATTCAGAATTTGACTCAGGCCTGCTGTCTTACTCTTGTTGAGAATCGGACCAAATGGGCTACAGTCATATGTTGTCTTCTAGAAGTAATCCAATGTGTTAATTTTCAGTTTTTGTATGTGTTAAAGTAGAAACATAGTAAAAATACCCACAGCAAAAAGCAAGTTATTACTTAACCAACTGGAAGGTTTTGCAATTTTCGTAAGTGTTGCGATTTTTATTATCGCCTACGATATCAACAGTGTTGTCTTTAGTTTTTATTAGGGATATTTAACTTAATAACACTGAACTTTTGAGCTGCCTGTAGACTAATTAGCCAGAGGTCACTACTAGAATCCGGACTCAGACGCTGAGCACTGAGTCTCGAGTGAGTGACGCATACACAGGGGAGGGACGAGGCGAGAAACAAATATTGAAATATGACTGAATTTTACTTTATTTGATTTGACGTTCAGTTGTTGACTGCATAAAATGTTGATACACCTACTGGGCAACTTCTGTATACAGTACATGGCACTGAATCATGATGCAAGTTAAACATTATGTTCCGGACCTTTGCTTCAGGATGTTTTCTCTAAGTGGACCTTATTGGATTTTAATTAAAGACCCCTGAGTTAGACCAATCAGATGCAACTAAACACCCCTGTGCTTTAGACATGACAGTACAACTGAAACTGACTAGAAGCCTGGCACATTACGTTCAGTGTTCAGGCCTCAAGCCAGAAAAAGTGGCTATCCTGCTCTTCTTAGCTAAAAAAGCAGGCCTGGACCTCAAATTATCTAAGAATCACACTTCAAATTGCAGTCACAATCAGGGATACATTGATACAATTTTTTCAGACAGAGTACATGTTTTTAAGTACTTGCTGACGCAGATTCTGATACCATACTGAGTAACCTAATTAGAATTAAGTAGTTGCTCGTGTAAATGAGTGCAGTGTACCTTAACAGTAAAATCATTAAGTCTAGCTGATTTTAAATGACATGCATAAGCTAGCTATGCTATGTTAGTTACCTTGGATTGAGTAACGTTACAGTGGAGAATGCATCTGAGGAGCTCACCTGTGGAGTTTACGTCTTGGTGGAGTGTTTTTGGCTGGTTGGCTGAGTGAGCTTTAATTGAATGTCCTCTAAAGCCAGGCTCACACTGCAGTTTTACAAATCTTGTTCTTTGGTGACCCTTGGTGACACTGGACGTTTGAATAGACTACCGTTTATATGCTCACACTGATCAATGATCGGTCTGAATAAAGCTGTTTCATTCAAATTAACACGCTGCATGTTCAAGTACCAAGCACAAACGCTGAGAAACTGAGCGGCTTTGTTAACTTGTGCCACACTGTGCGCTGAAACTAAAAACAGGTGGTGATGTACATGGTAAGGTAATACGGTCTCTACAGCCTCTTTTGCAAAAACAATTTAAAAAAATCAATATATTTAGTCAAACAGAGTGAAGTCAGCCTATAGGGACTGTAGACAATGAATGTCTAGTGGGAATATGCCAAGGCAGAATGTTTAAAGCAACCAAAGACTTTGTGCCTGACTGCCACAGAGTCAGCAGCATTTTGATGAGTGAGCAGACCCTCGTACACTGCTGGCTTGAGCCGTTTGTTCATTAGCATGGCAGCGTACGTTCGGCTCACGTCACATAGTATCAGTGGGTTTTGGATGTTGGAATCAGCGATTTTTTATGGGGACGAGTATGAGTAAATGAGCACAGTATTGGGCCGATAACCGATACCAGTATTGGCATTGATGCATCCCTAGTCACAATGGTAATAAGATATTTTGCTCAAATCATTCAGCCCTAATAATATGTATACATGAAATGAGTTTACAGCACTGCTATTTCATTTAGTATCTTACATTTAAGATTCACTTAGTCTAATTACTTCTATACTGTCTATACTATCCTGGGCCTCCTGTGTGGAAAAATCCCAGCACTGCACACTTTTACTTTCTTTCTGCTCCTGTGGGTTTGACAATTAGCTAGTGAGTTTATACCATTAAATAACACTACATTAAGAATAATTACAGAGTAGAAAATCTGCCCAAAACAACAAAGTGTAGCCCTGAAAGCAAAGGACCATTAATTTATAATCAAAACACAAACACACACATCAACACCAGAGTGTCTGGCAAATATGTTGAAATATTAATCAGTGATCATTTATTAATGTATAACACTCTCTGGTGTGTGTGTGTGTGTGTGTGTGTGTGTATGTGTAGGGGGTTGAAAGGTTAAAGCAACATAAATATAGTAGTGTGTGGCGTGTGTGTGCCTGTAAGTGCATGCAAGTGTCAATATGATTATGCTCAACTGAACTGTGTGTATGTACATATTTATGTGATTTCATGTTTGTTTGTTTGTTTGTATGAATGTGCGAAGTGTTTATTTGCTTGTAGGTTTATGTGTTTCTGTATGTGTGTTCAGGTGTGAGTGTGAATGTATGTGTGAATATAAGCATATTTAGTTGATGTGTGTGGGCAAATGCCAATATGATTTTATTACTATACATAGCAGGTAAATAGAAGTGCCTCTATATATCTTTTAGACAAAAGTTCATTCCTTCATTTATTTTAATGTCTTGTCGTGTAACGGTGGCAGACGGACCAGACACTCGCAGACAAGGCTAGTGTTCAGAGCTTTATTAACAAAAGGGTGATCCAGAATCCCAGTCGTTAACCAGAAAAATGAGTTTGAAATTCAGAGATTCAAAACTGAGCAAAAGGGCAAGACAGAAATCAAGGTCATAAATGGAAAACAAGTCATACGCGGAGCAAATACAAACAGACGGAGGTGGATGTGATTAGTGTAGAGAAGCTGAACGGTGATAGGTGAATCTAGATGAGTCATATGAGGGAGTGAGGGGTTCTGGGAAATGTAGTTTGAGACGGCCAATTCTGCTGTAGTTTCAGCCCTGTTGGAGGGAGGTGTGACAAGTCAAAACTGTTATTTATTTTTAAGTTTAGATTTAAGGTAATTCACTTGCATGTGGAAGACAAAATTCAAAAGAAAATAAGTGAAAAAAACAGGAGTTTCCAAAACTTGATTTAAAAAAAATCATAAGAAAATCAAAACAATAGGACAATAGGACAGTGAATTGACCTCCCGAGAGTCCAGACCCCTACACCACCGAATGTGTTTGGAATTTCTTGAGAAGAAGAAAATGCAAACCAACTTCTTAGACTGAACTTCGGAGGTATGGAAAAGTATCCCTGCAGATTTTTTTGAAAAACTGAAAGCAAGTCTCCGGAAAAGATTGGAAGTAATGAATGGCAAAACTCTTTGACATTATATTTAGTTGTTGAGATTGAATATATTTCCTGCTTTTTCGTGGTGCTGAAAAATGATCGTTTGTTCTTTATGGTCACTTGACTGGAAATTATTTAAATATAGGATGGTCTCTAACTTTGGCACAGTACTTTTGCACAGGTCAGGCTGTTATGTATCAGGTGTGTGTTTCCTTTCCTCTACTTTATTGAACCTGTCACTGTAATTCAAAGATGTCAGATGAACATGTTTAAAATGCGTTTTTGTATAAACGTTCTTGCAAAAAAGCTTCCAGTGAACGTTATCAGTGCCATCATTCTAACTGGCACTACCACAGCTATGCTTTACTGTTTGATATGTTAGCATTTCTGGCTGATTTATCCATTTAAGGTAGAATATTCAACTGACTGATTGATGGATTCTGGTTTATGCAGTGGAGGCTCTGCACCTGGGCACATTGATGGCAGCACACGGGTACTTCTTCCCCATCTCCGACCACGTGCTCACACTCAAAGATGACGGCACGTTCTACAGATTCCAGGTGTGTAACTCTCTAGGCTTGATACGCAGTGTGAGGCTCAGTGCTGTACTATTTAATGCACTGCAAAAAGTAAATGCAAAGGATTGCTTTGAATTTACTTGATTCAGATTTATACAGCATTTTCACGTGGATTAATTAGGGCACATGCACTCAAGCACTTGGTTAACCATTGCAAGTGTCAGTATTCAAATACTGACTGAAATCGCTGTTTAAGTTTTGTATCATGAAAGGAGAGGGAAAATATATACAGCCTGCCAATTTAATGAAACACAGGGCTGTAAGGTGTGACTGAGCAGCTGTAACTAGGCCAACTACTCTAGCTGACCTTAGAACTAAAAGCAATTACATTTCACTGTTCTCAGTGTAGAAGAAGAGACACCACTATATACCTTTCGCAAGTTTTTTTGTTTGCTTTAGCTCTTTAGCTCATTCAGAGCGGCCCCCACTTTCTCAAGCACAGTGACTAAAAGATTTCTTTTGGCTTTTTTTGAATAATGAAACATTTTAAAATGGACACCTCTGTAATTTTGTTTGTGCTATTGATTTTTTTGCCTCACTGCAGCAGTTTACCATGTTTCAGTATTGCTATTTCTTCTACCGCACAGTGTACTGAATATTTGTTCATTAACCTGAAGGTACTTGAATATCAAAATGCGTCTGAATGCACATTGCTAGAATTAATATTTCTGTAAATTGAGTGCATTATTTTTCTCATTATGCTTCAGCACAGCAGATTTAACTCACAAGTTAATTTTATGTTGAACTAGGTGTGACAGAGCGGGAAAATAGATAGCTGTACTCCAGAGTTTGAGTTTGAGAACGGTGGGCTAGAAAATTCCCTACTTTTACTGACCTTGTCTGATTGTGTAGAACACAAGAACACTAAACCTGTACTTCAGGGTTACAGCTCTTTATAGTTTAGTTTTTTCCCTGCACAAATGCATCACCTAATGAGCTGCATCAGGTCAATCAGGTGTGTGACAGTGCTTATTGTTTTTTTTTTTTTACAATGCCACTATGAATGTCTTCAGAACAGATTCCTTAGTATGGAGTTTGTCCTCACTTCTGCCATTTAATAGTCATGTATTTATCAAATCTCTTGAAGTATGTTCATAATGATCTGAAAGTAGAGTATCATATCCTCTGCCGATATCGGCCAAATGCCAAAACCTATTATTCGGCTAATGCCATAGCTATTTTTATTTCAATTGTTAAATATTAAAACATGATTAATAGATGTTTACCCTATTCACTATGTTTGTGTCTGACAACTCTCAGCTTATGTTCTCTTATGAGCAGATTTTGGAAGCATCTCTAAATATGATTAAATGCAATGGAAATTAGGCTGTGTTTGAAATTGATGAAATGCTAAATTACACATTTATTGACTTGGCCGTTGAAGGCTGAGTTTATTTATGTTGTTGATTTCAGTGAGAAGTTTCATTTTCTGCCGATTCAAGTGTTATTTTTTTGAGAAAGCATTCTGGGTAATGTAGTTCACCACAGTACAGAGACAGTGTTGTGTCCTGTCTTTCCTGTCAGACACCATACTTTTGGCCCTCTAACTGCTGGGAGCCTGAGAACACTGACTACGGTGAGTGTACACACTTTCTCATGAGTGTTTGAGAGTGACTGAAACTTCTAGAGCAGCGCTCACCAACTCTTTTCCTGGAGATCAGTTACAGCCCAAATCAACAGTTTACCAGCCAGAGTCACGTGACAGCAGTGATTAACCCTGATAAAAAAGTGTTTAATATTGTTTCAAACTAAACTGTGCAGAAAGGGAGTAAGTGAGACAATAACAGCAGTGAATTGAATACATTTCAATTTTATGCTAAAAAAAATTCTAAACACTTTATTTGGATAGCATGCTATAAATGCTTTGTAGATGCTCAAATAGTCTTTAATCTTGTGTGGTGTTGATATGTTTGTTACTCAGTGGTCTGGTGGACCCACCGCATTATTGAGGTGTGTTTTAAATCAATACAGCCATAACAATTTATGTAAAAATACCAGATGTTTTAAATATCACAAGTGTCCTGGGTAGGGTTCTCCTTTAGCAGCTGTAGCCAGTCAGCAGCCTGTTCATGTTGTCCACCCTCTCACACACACACACACACACACACACACTGACAGCAGGCCATGTAGGAGGAGAACAGGGTGAAGGGACACAGCACCTCCACACTTTTATTCCCCGTGGGTTCACCCCAACACCACGTGTAATATAAATGTGTAGGGGCTGTACATTGTGAAGGCACTGAAAATGTGTTATTTTATATGTTCTTCACAGAAAATTAGCAAAGACCAAGGAATCTGGGCTTAAAATAATGATAAATCACATCATTTCTTCTTTTGGTAAACATTGAAAGTGGCTCCCACAGACCTGAACACCACACAAGGGTTAAATATCAGCTAAATATCTAAAAAACTTTATTGTAATTCAACTTGAAAGTCTGTGTCCCTAACACTGACCCTATCCTTAATCTCAACCCAAAACCTAATCCTAACCCTAACGCTGGTCCTAAACCTTGTGAGGTTGTTTTCGTTCCCATGGCTGCTCCACTGTGTCTAAATCGTCCACATAATCGTGAGCAGTCAGTTTTTCCAGCTCCAACTCTGGGTCCACTGAAATTATGGAGTTCAACTCACATATCTTTAGAATCACTAGGATATTTTTAATATTTGCCATTGAATTTACGCACTGTTTAAATCAACTGAGTGGAGTAAATTCTGATCCCTCTACACTACAATATAATGAAACATTAGAGCTAATTTCAGACATAAACATGTGTACCCCCACAAATTTCTGAGCACATGATATGCTTAATGAATGAAAACAGCTCCATGTACAAGTTAAAGTTAACCCCACTGAATAAAAAAATCGTTTGTGGATAGGTGGCCAAAACAAAGAAAAGAAAAAAATGCTTTTACAAATATGGGGATAAATGTGGACGGAGTGTAGGAGTGAGGTCTTGTTTTGGCAAGTGGATTAGAAAACAAAAGGAAAATGAATTTTGACATTTTTGCTCACTGTATTGAACATTTCTTGTGCTGTAAGAACTAGAATATGTATAGTATAGTAATATCTGTTTATCGTTACACCCCTCTAGGATCAGGGTTGGTGACCAACGATTTACAGTTGAAATGTATTCATAAATGCAGCTGCACATGTGTGTTTGCGTATGCATGCATGTGTGGGCGTGTGCATGCTCCTGTGTGTGTGTGTGTGTGTGTGTGTGTGTGTGTGTGTGTGTGTGTGTGTGTGTGTGTGTGTGGAAAGACTGAGCCAGTAGGCTTCACCTTTTAATGAGAGTATGTGAACATGAGCTTAATCAAATCCTTCCAGATGGTCAGAGATCAGCTGGATATGGAAGAGCGTGTGCGAGTGTGTGTTTGTGTGGTTGCACCATCTGTGTGTCTTTGGCTCAGCAGCTCGCAGTCTCAGGTCACTGTGAATTTAAACTTCCCACTCAGAAGACAATGTGTGATGTGATGGCGTTTGCCTGCACGAGGATTTCTAAGAAACCTTTTAGCGTACAGACCCCCCCGACAGCCCCGAACGCTATCAGGCTACTCTCATGTGAGTTACCAAACTTAGACTGCTGCGGAGGAGGGATTCACCAATCAAGTGTGTGAAATCGTGTGTGAAAGCAACACCTTTCCACGCGTATGTGTGTGCAAGTGTGTGTTCGCTGTAATTCACACCTCTCCGTATCTCGCTGTGCAGCTGTGTACCTGTGCAAACGAACAATGCAAAACAAAGCTCGTCTGGAGCTGGCAGACTACGAGGCAGTAAGAAATCTCCCTTCATATTCACATTCATATTCATATTCATGTGCTTCTTATCTCTCCATCCACTTCACAACCTTTTTATAGCACAGCTCTCTCTGTCCCTCTCATCTCTCTGCCTCTCTCCTCTTTTCACTTTCTGTCCCTGCTCTCTTCCTCTATTGCTCTCTGCTTTTCCCTCCTCCCCATCTTCTCTCGTTTCTTTCTCCCAGTATTGTTTTTTTCACTATATGAAAACAATCTGCATCTTATTCTGTCTGCGTTGTCAGAAGTGTCACTGTTTTCATTCATCTGTGGGCATGCACTGATATGAGCCATGTGCTAATATGATTCCAATATATGATCATTGTACATCACAATGTATTAAAGGGGAATTCCACCAGTTTTTTAAATTTCTCTATCCTTCAATCGTTGGGGCGTAAATAAAGCCATTCAGAGTGGTTTGATGTGAAATTATAGAGAAACTCACCCACTCTAATCCACACACACTTTCTTTACAGTGATGGTGATAGGAACCAGGGGTATAGCCATTTTATTTACTATCCAAAACCACCAGTGAACCTACGGGTCTTCTGAGTTTTTATATAAAATGTTAATAGTTATATAACAGTGGAATTTTTTAAAAAAATGCCCTGCGTGTACTGCTCCTCCATGAATTCATGTTACAAATCAATTTTAGGCCAGTCTTTTATCTCAGAACTATCGTAAAGCAATGTCTCAGCATATTTATAACAATTTCTTGTAACTGTCTGTGAGGTGAGCAGTTAAAATCGTAAGACATCTGGTTCCTGTCACAACGGTTGTGGCCAAAGCTCTCTACACTGGAACCTTTTTTTATTATATTTTACGTTTTATATAATTATTTTAAATCTCTGTCTTTTATCTTTCTTTACTTTTTTCTTATTTTATTTTTTTTATTGATGTACAAGACCTTAAATTACTGTCTTATACACTGGAATTTTAATTTTATTTCTTGTTAAGAACATTTGGCTGTTCTTTAGTATGAAAGGTGCTATATAAAGAAATATTCTGAATGACTAAATGTGTGAACGTTGCAGAAATTTAGAAAAATTTGTGGAATTCCCCTTTAATGATGTCATTAGAGGTACTCTACTGGAATTCCATGAACCAAGGAAACACCATGGAAAATAGACCATACAGCTGGGGTGGGAAATATGACAATATTTATATTCATAATGTCACAATATGCTTTCCTGAGCATATTTTGGAAATCGTCTATACTTGAAGGACACAACTGCAGGTTTCATTACAAACACAAGATAATTAGTACAGTTCAATTGGATTGTCACTGCACTCAGTTTATGGTGTAGTATGTGTGTGTATGTGTGTGTGTGTGTGTGTGTGTATATATATATATATATATATATATGTATATATATACACACACATATAATGTGGCATTTCTGCTGCATTTTTGTCTGTTTTAACCTTAGAAAAATTAAATACCATGATGCTTACGAAGATGTCTTAGTAATAGTTATATTTTTGCCATTTTGCCCACCCCAGTCATATAGGGCATTTTATATTAAGCAAATTAATGTTTTAAAGACATATCAGATGCTTAAACAAGTACACTTATTAATGCTCTAAATAGCGTGGCGAGTGTCCACACACAGCCTCTCTTTATTTTCCGCTACACAATCTGAATCATGGATTGCTCAATTTAATGCACACGTGAAAGAAACATCTGGAGTGTGAGGTGCCTCTTTAATGAAGCAACACATTCGTCTCAGGAGTCTGTGTTATAGGCATGGTGCTATTCATTGGAGCTCTTTCCAGAGATGGTTAATCTAATCTGCCCTTTGACCTTTACCCTCTGACCTCTCCCTGTCTGTGATCCAGGAGAGCTTAGCGCGGCTCCAGCGTGCCTTCGCCAGGAAATGGGAGTTCATATTTATGCAAGCAGAAGCACAAGCTAAGTGAGTGCCCTTTTAACATCCTTTCCATCAACAGTGGTCAAAGGTCAGATCTTATCTTGAGATCTTGTGACCAGCACAAATTCACTGACCTTCTAGCCGTTATTTTCGGGAAATGTTACCTGTGCTTGATGTGGAGCAGCCGTGCATTAGTTAAAGCCCACATCAATTATGTAAGCTTAGATACTCATAGTCAGATATTTGTGTACTTGTACAGTTAGACTTCAGTTTATATTTCAGCACTAGGAGACTAGGAGGGAAGTGTGTATATTTATATGGAAATTCAATTATTTGTGTTTTTTCCAAGCATGCTTTTCCTACATTTCCTAACATTTCATATTACACAGGTGGTAAGGTACACAGAGAAAACTAAGAGGTAATAATACTGAAAAAGCTGATAGTAGAATTTTTGTGGAAATCAAAGTATTGAAAAAGTATCATTCAGATTGTTTTGGCAAAAATATTCTTCTTTTGTAGAAATATTCTTGAAGCTTGTTTTTGTTTTTGTACACATTCAGATTAGTTACAAAAAAAGGTTCCAGTCACAGTGTTGTACCCAGCAGTCTTGGACTGCTTTGTAGTGGATTGTTCAGAGATATTGCTCTTTGTATTTGCACTTATAAATGTTCAACAGATATAATAATCTGAACTTGTCTTAGGAATGTCAAACAGTTTAAAGGCCATTAAAAAGTTGTATTTGAACAAGACGGCTACAGTCGAGGATTCTATCATAGTAACATACAGGGTGCTGCAGCTGGGCTTCAGACTGCACTACTGTATGCATTAATTAAAAAACAAATAGTGGCCCAAATATGGCTGTGGCTAGAATGTGAGGTGCTGGAAGTGAGTATATTTGACCCCAGTGGATTGCAGAGTAATCAAAAGAGTGTAGAGGTTAATAACATGAATATGGAATGAAATGAAAACACTCAATCACCAGTTTAGATATTGGAAAACGTATGTTTACTGGCTCACTGATGCTGATAAAGAGTCGACTACTTAGAGTTTGATGCTTGTAGTCCTGAAGTAACTTTTGTTGTTACCATAAAAACTGCATTTTTATACCAAACCCTACTAAGACATATCCAGCATTTAACACAAAATAGAGCCAAATTGCTTCTAAAGATTCTATGAAAATCTAGGTGTGAGCTTATTCTTTAGGCATTTCTGTTTGCTTGTGCTACTGCGTCATTTGCTATAAAGCAGCATTCATGTTGGATTTCTGTACTGAAGCTTTAAAAGCTGTCAAAGGATCTTAACTGAGCTGGGTTCTGCCTTCCGTCTGCCCAGAGTTGATAAGAAGAGGGATAAAATCGAGAGGAAAATTCTCGACAGTCAGGAGAGAGCATTCTGGGACGTGCACAGACCAGTGGTAAGTTGAAATTCATGTGTGTTTATACGCATGTGTGTGTGTGTGTGTGTGTGTGTGTGTGTGTGTGTGTGTGTGTGTGTGTGCACAAGAGAGCAACTGAAATTGCGTTTTTGCAGAATTTTCCAAGCTGACTAGATGCTGACTAGCCACAGCATCCTCCCATGTGAAATTTAGACTCACTTAAGGAACTCATATATTTTGTATATCCCCAGAGGTTAAATACACATTTTCTGGGCACGAGAGCTCAAGCCTCTACACTCACATTGAATTCAGTCTAATTGCTGGTGCCTTAGGATGCATGTCCTTAAGAGTAACTAGATTAATACAGCTATATAAACAACTAAGCACTGTATAGATTTGGTCTGTTTGGGCCTTTTACAGGGTACCAACACCTGTGCGGTGATACTTTCCTCTTTTGTATTTTTTTTATTTTCTTTATAGCAAGTAGCATACAGCAGTCAACAAAAGTCAGAAACAGCGACCAATTACAAGCTTCCAGCGTAGGAAAACAAACATATATTTAAGGGAAAATTATACAGAAGCTTCAATGACTATGAGATCAGATTAAGCAGTATTTATTACGTCCATACTTTGCCTTTATTACAGCTTTCATTCTTTTCTCACTTTCAGTTTTTCAAAGAAATCTGCAGGGATATTTTTCCAAACCTCCAAAATTCTGTCTTAGAAGTTGGTTGCATTTTCTTCTTCTCCCAATCCCAATCACAAATTTACACTCACCTGTCTATACAGTCTTATTCTGAAAGAGTTAAAGTAAAAGTAGAGTGCAGAAATAAAAAACACTGATAGATGTGATACTATACTTAGTGTTGGAGGACTTTTTTTTAATGTTTCCTCTTTGTTTTTCTGACCCTGAAAATGAATAGTTTGAACATAATGTTAATTTGACTATATTTAATGCTAATCAAAGGCCGATAGTCCTTTATCACTGTGACTGTCACCTGGGTTTAATTGTGTCAGTTTGCTTGGAGTTCGTCCTTATATGTTGACTTGTTGTACAAAAGGGAGTCCTTCTGTTAAACCGTTTGTTGTTTTGTGAGAAAACAGCTATTTGTGCCTCAGTGGCTTTGTACTAATCCTCCCTCATTAGCAATTTCATGCTAACTCTGCTAATCCTTCGAGCTGCAGCACTACTGAAAGATCCGCCATCCGCCTACCATGTTTGTCCAATCTGTGTTTAAGCGGGTTTTAGTCTTTGAACATCATTTGAATCAGTTTGCTCTCATTCCACTAGGCATAGACAGCTCTCAAAATGTCTGTCAAAGTATTTGACAAGACTGATATTTGAGCTTCAGCTTTGTTTGTAGCTGTGTGGCTGCATGCAGAAGTTTACGGAGTTTTGTGACTTTAGCTGTCACAAGTACAGATCTGTGTTTATGTATGCACCCATGTCTGTGTGTGTGTGGATTTCAGCCAGGGTGTGTGAACACGACAGAAGTGGACATCAAAAAGTCCTCCAGAATGAAGAACCCTCACAAAACAAGAAAGGTACTGCAGCAAAATATCAGTCATTTCAGCAAAACCCTCACCGAACTCATCAATGCATGATTATTTTCCATAGTCATTCAGGAATCACCTCACCATTTCATGTTACTGCAATATTCACTGTAAATATCCAGTCAACACAAGTTGTTCTGTTCTGGTCATTGCTCTACTCATTTTAAAGAATGCAGTATGCTCAATATGTCTTGGTCATTTGTGTATGCTGTTGAGAGCTTTTATGTTTTTTTCTGTTTAGTCTGTATACGGGCTTCAGAACGATATCCGCAGTCATAGCCCCACCCACACGCCAGCCCCTGAGGCCAAGCAGCCAACTGTGGAGGAGCTCCAAGAACAGGTGCAGTCTGATTGTTCTTATCAGTTTCTGACTGATAGTGAATTAGTGCATTCATTTATTGAAAAGTATTAAAAGGGAGTTTGTCCCACTTTTCCTGCAGTAAGAGCCTCTGCTCTTCTGGAAGGGCTTTACACTATGTTGAAACATTGCTGTGAGGAGTTGCTTGCATTCAACCGCAAAAGCTTTAGTGAGGTCATGTACTGATGTTGGATGATCAGTTCTGGATCACACCAACGCATCCCAACGGTATTGGATGGAACACCATCACTCCAGAGAACGCGCTGCTCAAGAGCCTAATGCTGGGGGGCTTTATACCCCTCTAGCCAATGCTTAGCATTGCAGCTGCTGCAGAGTGTTCCATGTGATTGGTCTGTGCCTTTATATGGAGACTGAAAATAGAACACCTTTGTTAGCAATGGGTGCACCTTAAAGTAGTTGAGTTCATTCATTAAAAAGGTGTCTAGATATGTTTGAACAAACCGCATGAATGTGTGCTACTTTGTTCTATACTTTGTTTAACCCAAACCTAAACTCAGCTGCCAAAAGATCAGCTCTGACCTCTTTATCTTTTTCCAATAAGAGCAGTTTTTGGAGGATGAAGGCATTTTTTCCTGAAGAGAGCAGCCAAAAGTCCCCACAACTGCAAAATGTTTGTTTTCATCACCCTGTGGACATTTCTTGCCCACAAATAGCTAAATACATTGCTACAAGCACACTGCCTAAGCCCTGATCTCTTTGTTCTTTGCTGTCTTTTCAGATCAAATTCTGGCAGGCACAGTTAGATAGACATCGATTGAAGATGTCCAAAGTTGCAGAGGGGTAAGTGTGTCTGTCTGTGTATGAGAGAGAGAGAGAGAGAGAGAGAGAGAGTCAGAGTCAGACTGAAAGAGAGAGAGAGTCTGTACTTTGATCTACCCTTTGATCCACATTACTTTACAGTGCTTAAACCTTCTCCTGTTATTGTTATTGATCCTCTTAACGGGCCGTCTAGTTCACACTCATGTTGAAAGACAAACATTATCTCTTCGGGTTTATGATGAAGTTGTTTTACTGACCAAGCGATATATTTTTATGCTGACATATTGACTTGCATGGTGCAGTCTGAAATACCTACTGCAGCTCACTGTTTTTTGAAGTCTATATAACTCATACTGCATGACTTATTAATTGCAAGGCATCTTTTGTAGTTTTCTTCATGTTTCTTTATTTATAACGAGATGCTTAACTGTTTGAGGGTGCAGATTTCTTGATGATAAGATCTAAAGCTATTGTTCTGCTTACATTTTAATTCCTTCTCCTATTTTTCTTTATGAATCATGTGAGTTAACATATGGCTTTAACAGAGGTATTGGGTGATCGAGTCATGAGTGGACAGTGCTAGTACTGGTGTGAACAGGTCCGATGTGTCTTGGAGACGCACTGTTACCGATGAAGAGTTTCTTTCCGAAATGCTGTCCGTCCATTTGTAATAATTTTGGTTATAATGGGATTTTGAAAACAGCAACAGCTGACGTATAATGAAAAACACATTCTTATTTTCCTTATAAAGGGGTTATAAATCATAGTATAGAATTGATTTTCCTTTTATGTGAAAAGCCCACACCCAGACAATGAAAGTCACACACTGTTGTTGGAAATAAACCTTGTATCTTCAAAATGTTAACTTTACAGGAGAAGGAAAAAACATGCATTACTTTTAATGTAAGTCAGTGGAACCAGACTTTTTCCAAGTCTTTTTTCAGCCGTTTCTTTTGGTCCATTCTTCATGAAATTTATACACAATGTAAAGGGTACCAGGCATTTTGTCAAAATTATGTCAAAAACTGAAAAAACACCAAAAATGGAGTTATGAGGTTTTCTTCCAACAGCAGTATATTTAAAGAGATATATACAGAGATTAAGGCTGTCAACATTAACATGTTAACACTCAATTAATCTGGAAACCTCAACACGTTATTTTTTTTTCCAAGTTTGACCCCAACTTCCTCCCATATTTCCCGTGCGGATTCACTGAAAGGCGCAAACATAGATAACATGATGACTGTGGAAACATCCCCTGGTGTGCTGAACAGCAAATTTAGTTTTAAAAAGCTTCCAGATGGGCGTTTAGATACAACTAATGTTCCATCTGGAGCTGGGTGACTAAAGGTCACCACCATAGGAACAGATAGCGCTTGCAGAATGATCACGGCAGCAAGGAATCTACCATCTAAGAATATGCCCTGTGCAGTGCACATTACACAGAGGGTGATCACAGCGTCTCTTCATGACAGTGGTTTTGTCGTTGCTTTAGACAAATGCTCTAAAATAGTCTGACTAAACACAGTCCTGCAAACACAGCAGAGCTGAAAGTTCAGCAAGCCTCTAATGGTCAAGTAGAGGAGACTCGTTCAGGATGTACCCATGCGCTGGAATTCAACTCTTGAAATGATAAAGCGTGTGTATCATCACAGCTGAGAGAAAAGCAGCTGCTTCTTTCTTTGCCACCTCTTCTGTTTGTTTATAAGTTGCAATTTATTCAATCTAAACTTTGATAAATGCCTGTACATTTGTACAAATAAGGATTCGCGGCAGACTGACGTAGTAAATGTGCCTGGTACCTTTCCTCCAGTCATGAAATCCAGTCATAAGTGGTCAGTGGCGGTGCACTGGAGAACCATGGAAATACCATGTGTAAACGCTAAATGTCTCAGGACAGATGTTAATAGCAGGTATGAACAGTCTTATAGTTTAGTACTACGCTACAAGGACTTATCACTCTGTTTTGAATCTTTGGTGTGTATTAGACTAGAGAGACTAATGTGCCGTCTAATGCCCTGTTACGAATCATTTGTAGTCTGTTAGGCTTCAGGGTGCAGTATAGATGGTCATACAATGAAATTTTATAGTTTTGTTAATTAGGTTATCGTGCTGACGGGAGCAATGTGTAAGAAATATTAAATGTTTTGTAGATTATTGAGCTGTATGTGGCAGTATGCAGAATATGACCTTGTTTTTTATTCTTTTGTAGCTTATTAGGCTACACAGAGCAATACGCAGACTACGATCCATTCCTCTCTACTCCTGACCCCTCGAACCCTTGGATATCAGATGATACAACCTTCTGGGAACTGGAGGCGAGGTGCGTGTGATAAACATACGCAAACACACAAGAACAAAGGCTTGAAGTGTGAGGATTTTCATGTCTTTAGGTATAAATACAGTACTGTGTCTTAGCTACTTTCCATTTATCTGGGGTAGTACCACTAAAGTTAGAATAAATGCAAGTAAACAAATAAACTTCTGATTGTTCTGTGTGTGTGTGTGTGTGTTTGTGTGTGTGTTAGTTTAAACATTTGCAAAGCTCTCCTTGATGAAGCCCAGTATTTATGGTGACCCTCCATTACCTAGTTTATCTAATCAGTCCTTCATTATATTTAATCAGGTGTGCTACTGATGAAATTTCACTAATCCATGTGATAGGTAGAGTGCAGCAAGGTGTCAGGAACCAAACGTGTTCTTCTAACTGTATTCTGACCAACATATCAATAACTTTGTTATGTTATATTGATATGTTATATTGTGTTTACTGCTGAAATACACTTACTGTGCAGATGAATAGTTTTTAGAGAACCATTTTTTTGGTTGCCTAATATTTTTGCACGGTAGTGGATTTGTATGCATGTATTAAGTTTGTAAATGTCAACCGTTCAATTTGGTTATAATTCTTGATGCAATTTCTACAAATTTAGTTATTTTGGTATTTTTTAATACACTGAATACACAAATATATAGTGGTATATAGTAGTGGCCAGGTTTGTACCATTTTGATTTATATAAATGTCTATATGATGTGTTTATTCATCTCTATTATGGTTGTAAATGTATAGTATGTATGTTTTTCATGTGTAATTGCTTGAGGCGGTTTGTGTATGTGTGTATAATGTATGTATGTGTTGTGCAGCAAGGAGCCGACTCAGAGTAGGGTGAAGCGTTGGGGTTTCGGGATAAACGAGGTTCTGAAAGATCCAGCAGGGAGAGAGCAGTTCCTCAAATTTCTGGAGTCAGAGTTCAGCTCGGAAAACCTCAGGTAACGCCACTGCCCCTTGCTGGTGATTCTGTGTACTGCCTTGTTGTGTCTTTTCCCTGTATGATGGAATGCAAATCTGAATATTCTCACTAGTTAGAATTAAGCAATATAGGTCTACATTCATCCTCTTACACCCCTTTTTTATTTTCATAGTCACTTTTCAGTCTCTTGATGTTCCTCAGTTGTAGTTTAATCTCTTCTTGTTCTTTATCTTTCGTCACCCTAGCTTTTTATTCTTTGTCACTGTCTTTTGTTCTTTCTTCGTCTCTTTCTGTCTGCATGTCCTAATTGCCCCTTCTTTTCTGTCTCTATCTTTCTTCCTGTCTCTCTCAGGTTCTGGTTGGCTGTTCAGGAGCTGAAGCGGAGGCCGATTCGAGAGGTGCCATCACGGGTGCAGGAGATCTGGCAGGAGTTCCTGGCTCCTGGAGCGCCGAGTGCCATCAACGTAGACTCCAAGAGTTACGACAAAACCACACAGAATGTCAAGGACCCCGGGCGCTATGCTTTCGAGGATGCACAGGTGCAGAAAATACTGTGTGTGTGGCAGCAGTTGTCTGCATTAGAATCTGTAGTCATTTGATGATTTGATGAATGAATTCGGTTCAGATTCAGATTTGTCTCTTTAGTTAAAGGGTAGAGTACAGCGAAAGTCGGACATCGGGTCAAATGGAACAAATAGGTTCCATGCTGTATTGCTCTGTGAGTGACAGGAGTTAATCGAAGGTAAACGTCTATGAATAATTAGCACAAGTGTTTTTGTCATACATTCGTTTTCAGTGGCTTCTCTCTGTTCATCATATTGGGCACGTCATAAATTGACCTCCTGGTGCATCTACCAAACAAAATGTCTCATCTGTTTAACTCACCTGCATTGATGTAAACAGACACTCCTGCTAAAATGAAAAAATATGCCATTGCTGTATCTGTTGTCAACATGCCTACTCACATCCTACAGTGGTGCTGCAGTAGTCTATGTACACATTCCGCTTAAAAGACTAATGATATCGTCTAATGAGATTTTGAAGATGGGTGGTGCTTTTGAAAAATGTTTTACAGCTGTATACATTTTTTTGTAGTTTTTTCATTGGTTTAATGCAGAAGCTAGATAGCTAACATGACTGCTATGAAATCGAATATCATAATGTATCCATATAACTACAACCCCAATTCCAAAAAAGTTGGGATGCTGTGTAAAATGTGAATAAAAGCAGAATGCAACAAACTGCAAATCTCACAGACCCATATGTTATTCACAGTAGAACATAGAACACATATCGGATGTTGAAAAAGAGACATTTTACCATTTCATGAAAAACAGTAACTCATTTAGAACTTGATGGCAGCAACGCATCTCTAAAAAGTTGGGACAGGGGCAACAAAAGACTGGAAAAGTAAGTTGTACTAATAAAAAACAGTTGGAGGAGCATTTATGAGTTATACCTAACTCACATGACTGAGCATTTTAGAAAGGCAGAGTCTCTCAGAAGCAAAGATGGGCAGAGGTTCACCAATCTGCAAAAACTGTGTAACTGTGGACTTTGGATATCCCACCATCTACAATACATAATATCATCAAAAGATTCAGAGAATCTGTAGAAATCCCTGTACACAAGGGACAAGGCCAATGGTCAGTATTGGATGCTCATGATCTTTGGGCTCTCAGGTGGCACTGCATTTAAAACAGACATGATTCTGTCCTGGAAATCACTGCATGGGCTCAGAAACACTTCAATTGTCTATGAACACAATTCACCATGCAGTCCACAAATGCAAGTTAAAGCTGTATCATGCAAAGAAGAAGCCATATGTCAACACAATCCAGAAGCACCACCGTCTTCTCAGGGCCAAAGCTCATTTAAAACGGACTGAAGCAAAATGGAAAACTGTTCTGTGTTCAGATGAATCAAAATTTGAAACCACGGACGACATGTCCTGCGGGCTCAAGAAGAGAGGGACCCTGCAGCATGTTATCAGCGCACAAATAAAAAGCCTGCATCTCTGATGGTTTGGGGTTGCATTAGTGCCTAAGCCATGGGCAACTTACACATCTGGAAAGGCTGAACAGTATATAGAGGTTTTAGAACAACGTATGCTCCCATCCAGACAACGTGCTAAACCATCCAGACAACGTGCTAAACCACATACTGCATCCATCACAACAGCATGGCTTTGCAGAAGAAGAGTCCAGGTGCTGAACTGGCCTGCCTGCAGTCCAGACCTTTTACCATTAGAAAACATTTGGCGCATCATGAAATGAAAAATCCGACAAAGAAGACCCAGGACTGTTGAGCAGCAAGAATCCTACATCAGACAAGAATGAGACAACATTCCTCTCCCAAAACTCCAGCAGTTGGTCTCCTCACTTCCCAGACGTTTACAGACTGCTGTTAAAAGAAGAGGGGATGCTACACAATGGTAGACACGGCCCTGTCCCAATTTTTTTGAGATGCGTTGCTGCCATCAAGTTCTAAATGAGTTAATGTTTTTCATGAAATGGTAAAATGTTTCACTTTCAACATCTGATATGTGTTCTATGCTCTATTGTAAATAAAATATTGGTCTATGAGATTTGCAAATCATTGCATTGTGTTTTTACTTACGTTTATTTACATTTTACACAGCGTCCCAACTTTTTTGGAGTTGGTGTTGTAAAATAACTGCCTCAGATTATAATTCCAAATGGTAAAAGCTTGTATCTGGCATCTACTGGCCTGTATTTCTTTGTGATTTTGTCAAATGACTGAGGCAAGACAGAGACAAGCAGCTAGGCTGTCAGTCAGGTTTGGTTGACACGGAGTCTAAAATGAGAATTCTGTCGAACCGATAAGGCTGTAGAATAACAAATAGCATATTAAACTCTTGTTTTAGGCTGGAATGCTTCTTTAATGTGTGTGTATTAATGGGTTTATTGTGTATGTCCATGTGTGCATTCCAGGAACACATCTATATGCTTATGAAAAGTGACTCGTACAGTCGTTTCATCAGATCCAGTGCCTACCAGGAGCTCCTGCAGGCCAAAAAGAAGGTAGGGCCAAACACATTATCCACCAAACCACCAGACCTCTATACAGCCCTACAAACAGAAACACTGCAGCCAGTTCAGAACCATCAGAGACAGTCCATCTCTCATCGACAAGACAGATAAGAATTATTCCATTATTTCAAAATCCACTGACATCTGAACTGGCACACTTGGAAAACACAGGCTCACACACACTTTGTAGCACTGTCTTGAACACACACACACACACACACACACACAGGTCTGTTCTCGTTTTTACTTTGTGTGTCTTTTGGTTTATGCTGATTGAAGTCTGGGAGTTTTCAGGACCGCAGAACCTCATTTGAAAAATTCACTCGTAATGTGGTAAGTGGGCGTGATCCCCCAAGTGACCGCTTACCTGACCAATCACTAGTAAGATCTGGTCAGATGACCCGTGTCCTGGTGCGTGAACCTGCCCCAAAACCTCTTTGATGTCACGCTTAATCTAAATCACGTGACGGTACTATTCTTTTACAGGATGAAGCAAACTGCCCTCTTCTCTTCTCTTCTCTTCTCTTCTCTTCTCTTCTCTTCTCTTCCATCCTTTCCTCTGTTTGTCTCCTCTCCTCTGCAGTAAAGTGTTGTGTATGTGTTTTTTTTTTTATCTGTCTTCTCTGCATGTCAGACATTTTGGCGTGGTGAAAAAATAGCACAGCTGCCAAAATGTCTTCTTGCTCACTTGTTTCTTTCTCCTTGCCCGCAGAAAAGTAAGAACTTGTTTTGAAGGAAAACAATGCTTCCAGGTAAATCCTCTCCAGAGCTACTCCTTCTGTCTTCACCTTTTACAGTGATAGTTTACTTACCCTTGTTAATGCATGTCTGTTCTCATAGCTTGTTTGTAATGTGCATCAGTGTGGAAAAAGCGCTCATCCATGCATAGACACAGTTTGATCTTTTATCTGATCGCTTCTGCTCTCCCTCTCACACTTCCCCTTTCTCTCTGTTCCTCTCTCACTTTCCCTCTTTCTTTCCTGCTGTCTGTCTTTGTTTCTTCTTTCTTTCTCTCTCTCTCTCTCTCCCTCTCTCTCTGTTTTCTTTCAGGGGAAATCTCTGGCGTCTAAAAGACTGCCTGCTGTTGTGCAATCCTGCTGAGCCTCGGAGAATTAACCGGGGACGAGGACGCTGTCACCTTCATCTCTGCTGTCTGATTGGTCCAGCCCCCGACAGCGGACCAATCACGTGCATGTCCAAGGGACTGAATTTTTACATCACTTTTTACTCGCTTTAATTTCTGCCTGAGACGGGGGGGAGGGAAGGGCATTTCAGGCTTCCAAAGGACAGGAGGATAATTTCTGAACGAGAGAAACAATGTCCAAGTCTTCTCCATCTCTCATCTGTCCAGCTGGACCACGTGTAAACTACATAAATGATGTCAGAGGTGAAACGAAAAAAAAAGAAACAAAAACAGCAACAGATTTAACAATGTAAAGCTGAACCTTTAAAAAAACACGAGAACACTTTGTAAACTCACAGCTGCTTATAGTCCAAGGCTTCAGAGATCAAGACTTTCTGTGCAGTTACGTTCCGTTTCATCGCCATTGATTTTATTGCACTATTTAAAAAATAATTGTAGAAATTTTGCTTGTCACACTTGTATGGCCACCGAGGAGACAGCTGCAGGCCATGTCTAATGTCTAGTATGTTCTTTTTTCTTTTTTTTCTTTCTGGTGGTGAGGGGTGGGGGGGGGGCACTTATCTTCTATGTTTATTTTTATACCATATTTAAAGACACTTTGACTTGAAAAATATATTAAAGCCAGTCCTTTATCTGAAAGCACTGCAATAATTCATTTTTATTGCTGAAGCAAGTAAATCATGTTTTGACCGATCTCAGCGGCATATTTGCCCCACAATAGCTGTGTTTATTTTCGGAGCATAGCTGATCTATGATTTGCTGATTTATTTATTATAATATTAAAACTGCTTCAACATACAACAGAATAGCTCTCACTGTGATTTACTTACCAACTTCAAAGGTCACAGCATCAGAAGCAACTCTGGCTTTTGACCACTAGATGGCGGTAGTTCTGTTCACATCACTGTAGTAGTAAAGGGACTTTGAGGGGATGGCAGTGCCAAAGCTTCTGTGATATGGAGGCTTATTATAGAAATAAATGTGGTATACTGAAGGGGGGCAATAAGGACATATTTATATCTGGGATATCGTAGATACTTAATGAACACTGACCAACTAGATGCTTCATTACAAAGAGAGCATAATTGGTCCTGTTTAATTAGTGAAGAGCAGTATATGAAATGTTTAATGAACATCACTGTATTTATCATGTCTCATAGTATTTTTAATGTGGCACTGCTGGTCCTTTTTTGTCCTTTCCCACTTATCAAATATGCATTTTGTGAAAATGTCTTGAAGCATTGAGATGTTATATTGGTGTCATATCGCCCACCCCTAGTATACAGCCCCCAGTACTAAGGCGTAAACGTCATTTGGTTGTTTCAGCTATGTTACTGTGTACCGCTGGTCAAAAGTTTTGGTCAAAAATGTTCAAAAATTTAAAACTGAAAATAATTTGTCAGTTTGCAGTAACAAAGCTTTTTATATCTTACATTTTTCTTTGCAGAAATTTGCAAAACTGAAGGAACAACATGTATCTCATGTATAAAGCCAAAGGCCAAACATTTTATCCCCCTGTTGAGATCTCAGCACTCACACCTTTCAAGTGTTTAAACCACCTTTGGGAAAAAAAAAGTTCTCATGTAAGTGCTTTTAACAAAGTGTGTACATTGTTATTCAGGCAAGACCTGCTTTTCATACCAAGGAAGACACTTTGATAAAGCTAAATGTACCCAGAGGATTACCACGTAGCTGTTTATGTGTATAGAACCTTTGCAGATTTTTTTTTACATCATTCAAAATCAACAGGGTGGCACGGTGGTGCAGTGCTGTTGCATCACAGCAAGAAGTGCCTGGGTTCGATTCCTTGGCCAGTCAACGAGGGTCCTTTCTGTGTGCATGTTCTTCCCTTGTCAGCGTTGGTTTCCTCCCACAGTTCAGAGACATGCAGTCAGACCAGTTGGAGATGCTAAATTGCCCCTCAGTGTGAATGTGTATGTCTGTGGACTGGCAAGCTGTCCAGGGGGTATCCTGCCTCCTGCCCAGTGACCGCTGGGATAGACTCCAGCACATAACACCCCCGTGACCCAGGAGGATAAGTGGCTTAGATAATGCGGTGTGTATGTGTGAAAAGTAACATAAAAATCAAATATTACTCTGAACATTTCAAAAGAAAATGAAATGAGCCTAAACTTTTGACAGGCAGTGTGTTGATGTGACCCGAGGTCTTTGGGTATAAGTACTCTGTAGGACAGTGATTCCCCTACTCTTCACACCTCTAATTCAGTTCATGAATAGCTTAATAAGCAGCTGGTTTTTGAATAAGGCATGTTAGAGTAGAGAGAACAGTCTATGTAGAACCTTGAGTCTGTAGGACTAGGATTGGGACCCATTTGGATATGAAGCACAAAAATTTATTCCAGAATTCCACCCTGAGAAGTTTCATACGTCTGACCCTGGTCTCGAAACTCTGTTCTCCAGATTCTTCTCCATAGCGCACTACAAAAGAAATCCACCTGACCGCAGTTTCAAAACAAACAGCACAACAAAAGCAACGCAGATTACGACAGTGGCCCGTTTCGTGCCACGGAGACCTTTCCCAGCGTATTTTGCACAGAAATCCCAAAGTGATTCCGTCTCTTGATGTGGTCTGCTTTGAGTCGGGAGAACGTGCAGAGCTGGGTTTGAGGGGGGCTAGCCCAGGGCTTCTGGGAACGAGAGGGGGCTTTACCGAAGAGTCAGTGTGGAATTTCTGCTGGGATGTGTTATAGCAGATCTAAATTTAAACAACTTTAGGTTAATTGGTCGGCTTGTTAGGTACATTAGCTTATAGTGGAAAATTAAAGAAGCTGAAGCTGAACTGGCTGATGTAATTTGGTGTAAATTAGATTCACTTTAATGGATTTGATGGGAATATTACATACTGGTTTGCAGAGCAAAGCTTCATTAACCACTTGTATTGTGGTTATGTGAGCCTATTGTCTACTGTCTGGATATTTTGGTGTGATGTATTGTTGTCCTGTGAGTTTCAGAGGGAGAGTTAATGAGAGAGAATGACAGAGAATGAAACAGAGAGAGAAACAAATGTTATTCCCATTGCGGTTGGACATGTACATGTTCAAAACCCACAAGAAGAATGATTGTGAGAATGAGGAGAAGTGTCAGGGTTGCAGCGCATTCTCAGCTGAATGAAATACTGACTCAAGAACATTTTAAGTGCTGCTTATAAAGAGGCAGTTATGAGCAATAGAAGCAGTAGAAAAGCCTTTGTGTCTGAAAGTGTTTGCCATTGTGGGTCACATCATATCTTTCCTAATAGAACTAATTGATGTTTCAAAACAAGTAACCGATGCTTCAGCCCAGAATTAGCGTAGCATAGGAAAGTTGCCAGTCTTACAGCAAATCCAAAAATGAACAAAATATGTGAATCTTATGTGGGTCTCTTTATCAGTACTGTTCAGATGTGGGAGAGTTCATTTGTATAAGCAGTCACTATTGGAGGAATGTCTACACAAAAGACAGCAGAGAGAGAGAGAGGTGTTATAAACGCCTCATTGAGTGTAGTATTGCAGTATTATAACACAGTATAAAGTATATTCTTACAGTATAGTATTATACCAGTATAACATAACTGATTTAGTATAATACAGTTTTGTGTCAACAGTATAACATACTGTGTACTGTTACAGTTCACTCGTAAAAAGATCTTCAAGGGTTCTTTAGTAAAGAAAATGGTTCTGTATAGAAGCATGAACACACAAAGAATGCTTGCATGAGGGGTTCTCTGCATCATGCAAGCATTCTTCAGATTGATGAAAAATGTGCTGTAGATGGTTCTATATAGAAGCTATTTAAAAAGGGTTCTATATAGCACCAAAAAGGGTTCTGCTGTTGTGGTAATGTCAAGCTTGCAACAATAGAAGAACCCTTTTTGGTGCTAAATAGAACCACTTTTTGATGATTTGATGCCAACAACACGTTTCAAAAAAGTTGAGACAGGAGCAACAAAAGGCTGGTAAAGTTGTGTAATGCTAAAAAAACACCTGGTGGTTAATTGGCAACAGGTCAGTAATGTGACTGGTTATAAAAAGCATCCCAGAGAGGCTGAGTCTTTCAGAAGTAAAGATGAGGGGGGTTCAGCACTCTGTGAAAGACCGCACGATCAAATAGTGCAACAATTGAAGAATAATGTTTCTCAACATAAAATAGCAAAGACCACTCAGCTTGTTATCAGCGCACAGTTCAAAAGCCAGTTTTCATGATGGTATAGGGGTGCATTAGTGCACATGGCATGGGTGACGTGCACATCTGTGAAGGCACCATTAATGCTGAATGATACAGGTTTTGGCAACATATGCTACCATCCAGATGACGTCTTTGTCAAGGAAGGCCTTGATTATTTCAGCAAGACAATGTCAAACCACATTCTGCATGTATTACAACAGCATTGCTCTGTATTAAAAGGGTCCGGGTGCTAAAGTGACCTGCCTGCAGTCCAGACCTGTCACCAAATGAAAAATACAATAAAGGAGACTCTGAACTGTTGAGCAGCTGAAATCCTGTATCAAACAAGAATGGAAAACATTTCACTTTCAAAACTACAGCAGTGTCTCCTCAGTTCCCAAACGCTTACAGAGTGTTGTTAAAAGAAGAGGTGATGAAACACAGTGGTAAACAGGCCCCCATCCCAACTTTTTTGAAATGTGTTGTTGGCATCGAATTCAAAATGGGCAAATATTTTTCAAAAAACAATAAAATTTCTCAGTTTCAACATTTCAAACTGCTGTCTTTGTAGTATTTTCCTTTAAAAATATGGTTAACATGATTTGCACATCATTGCATTCTATTTTTATTTACATTCTGCACAGCGTCCCAACTTTTTTGGAAATAGGGTTATATAACACATCCCTGCTGTAGTGTGATGCAGTAATATAGCAGTACCTATAAGATACTATTGGGGAAGTATAATGCTGTTTTAGTATAAGTGGTTGCAAAGGGGGTGCTGGCGAGGGGAGGGGCTGTACAAATACAAGCACAAGAGTAGGAGAGAAAGAGAGATGCATGTGAGTGTGTGTATGACCACAGATACGCATTTACTCTCTGCTTGATGTCACTCAGATACTGTTCTTTGGAGAGGATTCAGAATCCACTGAGTCAGTGATTGGAAGAGGAGATTCAAAACGCGAGTCACAGAAAGACAGGATGATTCAGAGGTTCCGCGGGACAGAGCGACTCAGTGGAACAGAATGCGTGCGGGACGCCCTGTGAAGGGGAGAGCAGAGAGGATCATCAGAAATGAAGCATGACCAATTCTGCCGTGGTCCAGACGGAATGAGTGAAGCTGCAGGATCCAGAAGGGCTGATGGGTATTTAGAGGAAAGAGCCTCTCTGTGGGGTGTTTAGAGGAAAGACTCGGGGGTATTCCTCAGAAAGAGTCTGGGATACCTGGAGGATTGTTCTGGGGGATATTTGTAGGAAAGGGTCTGGAATGCCTAGAAGATCTACCTGGGGGGTATTTTTTTGGAAAGACTGTGGTATTTAGAGGAAAGAATCTGGGGAGCATTGAGAGAAGGCACTGTGGTGTTTGAGGAAAGAGAGGGGCATTTAGAGGAAAGACTCTGGGGCATTTAGAGTAAAGACTCTGGGGCATTTAAAGGAAAGACTCTGGGGCATTTAGAGTAAAGACTGGGGCATTTAAAGGAAAGAGTGGGGCATTTAGAGGAAAGAATCTGGGGCATTTAGAGGAAAGAATCTGGGGTAGTTTGAAAAAAGACTAGTGTAGAAAGTGTGGCGTTTAGAAGAAGGCATCTGGGATATTTAGAGGGTCTCTGCAGTATTGTGAGTAAAGAGTCAGGGGGTCTTTTATGATGAATGTCTATGGGGTTTTTACAAGATAAATAGGTTCAGGTTTGAGGAGAACACTATACTGTCATTAATTTGGACTTGAGAGTGATTATCAGCTGTTAACTCTGTCTCTTGGGTATTTAGAGGGGAAGGTCTGTCTCTGAGGGGTATTTAAGGGAGAAGGTCTATATCTGTGGGATATTTAGAGGATAATTTCTACCTCTGAGGGGTATTTAGAGGAGATCTTTCTCTGTGGGGTATTTAGATGAGAAGGTCTATCTCTGTGGGTATTTAGAAAAGAGTCTTCAGGAGACATGTAGAAGACTATGTGTCTTAGAGAGTAATTAGAGTCTCCACATCTCCGGAGCACATCTGCTTCTCCTGCCTTCTCCTCCTGCATGGACCGACTCTGACCTGACCACTGTGCCCTGACCTTTGAGCGACCTCTGCTGGGATATACGCTACCAAGAGCCAAGGCAGAACCATGCACTGCTGTAACTACAGGTACAGTGCATCATTGAAGCAATGTATGCTGCATCATGATATTGGTCTGATGGAATTTACATCATGTCATTTAAATTGTTCAGTGTTGTAAAATTGCCCCGCAGAGTTAAAAGTACAACTGATCTAGTCCTGATTCTGGGGGCACATATACTCCCCATACGTACCACTTAAACCATGTGTACGCCTGGATAGCGTAAGATGATAATGGTGTTCTTCTTCTTTTTCTTCTTCTTCATAATAATAACAATAATAATAAAAACACATATACAGAACTTTACTGTAGGGCATGCCTCCTACATAAGCCCTTCATGAGAGCTGACCAAACAGAAACATGCACAAATACTGTTATTTCTCATGATGATTGCATTAACCAGTTGTGATGTCAAGTTGACAGATCATCTTTGTCAGGTGATGTTGGTTCTTATATCAGGTCCTTAAGACACTTTCTAAGGTGTATTGACATAAAACGTTTTGTTACACTGTTTATTATTGCTAGAAATTTGCAATATTTAACAGTATTTTTTTACAATAAAATCTTGTATTCATTAGTTTATTGTGAAAGTAACTTATCTCAATATATGTTCTGTAATAACAGCAAATTACTGGGTTGCTGCATTATACAGCACAGTATTATGGAATATGATCATTAAAAAAGGGGTAAACATTTTAATGAAAACATTTTACAGGGTTTATTTTTGTTTTGTTTTGCTTTGTTTTGTTTTGTTTAAATGCTGGAAAAATGGTAATTTGACAAAAAAATGTTTATTGATATTGCGAAAATAACTTTTTGATAATGTCTATGCAAATTACAAGCTTGAAAATAACATTTTAAAATACATATGTGAGATATTCTGTGCAAAATAAGTCCAAAACGAATGTGCAAATGTACAGTAAATTACTGGGTACTGAGCTGTGTTACTTTTACAGGTATTCTGTAAAAATACAGAAGATTACTTCTTATACTGTAAGTGCACAGCAGAATAATGGCTACATCACAGTAATCTTACGGTCCAGGTCACTAAAGTCACAGTATACAGTTATTTTGCTGTTATTTACTGCTAATATGGTTCAGTAAATTACTGTTAAAGGAATGCAATAGTGGAATGTAATGTACTGTAATTTTTACAGCATTTTTTTTACAATGCAACTGACTCTGTAGCTCAGTGTATGTCACAGAGACATAATGCTGAGATATAGCTTGCACAGTCAGGTTGGTTGAACCAAGCTGGTATTTTCTGTAGGTAAAGTTTCATTTGACCCTTTATAAGATGTTTATGGATGAGTTACATATTTTCTTTGACCTTTAGGTAAAGTAATTTGCTGTTAGGTATAACATTTGCAGTGAACTCTCCTAGTAGAGCTAGGCCTTCAGTTTGGGCCATAAATGTCAAAACTCAGTCAAAACAGTGAGATAAACCCCACCTCAATGATGATGCTAACTTCTACTAGCATCCCTATGAGACTGAACTAGTCTGTTAGCGCTAATTCGCATTTCCACTTTCTGATGAGGCTGAAGTTAGCTTCTTATTCTAATTTTCCGTTCCATCTTTAACAGTGCAGCAGTTACATTCCGGTGCATTTAGGCACTAAAATGTGGCTGCTGCAGCAATTAAGGCAGGATGGAAAATTCGAAAAGGCCATTCTAGGTTAAACAGACATTTGAAGCTCCTAAAAGACATTCCATGTTTCACTTGAAGCTTGTGACAGACATATTAGCATATAGCTTATCTTTTAGCAGTTTCACAGTGACTCTTTCAGAGATTGCAGAGTTTTCCGTTTCTAACAATGCACTCATTAGGCTGCTGCTCTTATTCACAGTCACTGATGTATCTAGAACTTCCATAAGGCCTAGGATGAGTTTTTTTTCTCACAAAATTGGTCCGTAAGTTGTAAATCAAAACATGATTGGTTGAGTCCTCTGTGATGTTGTAATTATGCTGATGGTTAATCTAACCAGGTTTTCTCTTTAGCTCTTGAAGTCCTAACCCAGGGGTTGGCAACCCAAATGTAAAGAAGAGCCATTTTGTCTTTTCAGCAAAAATCAAACCACAAATCAAGCTGCAACATTTTATGTCCATTTTACCATATTGGCTGTAAATATGTCTCAGTATGAGCTTATGTGTTAGTATAGACTACAAAATATAATAGAAACAAAAACAGACTTACTTTGCTCTGCTTTAAGAGTTTGTTGTAAAATGTCTCTCAGCGTTTGATTTTTTTACGAGGCTGAAGTCAGCTTTGCCAGCTTCTTGTTCAAACTTTCCCGTTCCACCTTGTGGTGGGGAAAATTTGAACGAGAATCCGACTTCAGCTTCGTGACTTTTTAGTGTTTAACAGTTTCTCGCTGCAGATTAAACGTATCAGGAAACCAGCTGGAGTGATTAATAATGCAAAGAAGTCCATTTGTCTCCAAATTATCAATGTCCGTCTTAAATTTTTCTCTTTGCCTTTTCATTAACCACTAGCTAGACGGGACTGTTGTCTGTGTTGCTATGGTGACCAGCAGTCTGTGCGCCCACCTTCATTGTTAAAGTGTGAATTAGCAGTTCTACATTGACTCCAGCATGTAGGACCATATATTGTTAAAACTGTGTTGAATGATCAGCAGAGCTTTATTTTACTGCAAAGGAGAATTATTTTATTTTTATCTAAAAATCTAATTTTGCCGGAGCCACTTTGCCAACCCCTGTCCTAACCAATAGGAGAGCTTGTTTAGCTAAATCTACCTAGATATTGTGGAGAAAAACAGTTTCTAAGTTTTCCTCAGCAAAGTGTCATTTTACCCAAAAAAGTGTCATGTCAGAAACATCAGTGTCAACTTGATAGAAAAGTTGGCAGAAGCAGCCTTTCTGACAAATGACTATTGTAATAAGCCTTTATAAAATGTTTATGTATGTTATATATGTATGTCATGACAGGCTTATGAACATGGCCCTACAGTAAAGTGCTACAACAGAGAATGTCATTTGCACTGACTGCAGGAAGAAAGCACATTAGCGAGAGAAGACGGATCCAGCTATAAATCAGTTCAAAGTAATTGACCCTCATATCTGGTTTTGGATAAGAGGATTTGGTCTCCGACAAAAATCACTGTAAGGGATTTCCCCTCTTTAGCAGGGAATTCAATCATGTTATTAATACCCCAATATTAGTAAGCAGCAAAATATGCCTTAATTTGGAAGACTGTGTGGGTGTGTGACTCCAAGCATAATCTGACTGGTTATTAGTGAGTAATATGAATTCATTTGAGGGCTCTACGTGTGTGGGTTGTAGTGAATTAGACTGAAAGGGTGATTTGACTGAAGTTATTAAACATATTCGGTCATGGATGAGGCCGATGTCTGCCCACAGTCCTGGCCACAGCTATGCACTGTAACCTGAGTTTTTCCTATTTTCCTACACATTTTTTCAAACCACCAACATCTGACATGCTTCAGGATGCTTTCTTTATTCAGTCGCACGCACTGAATTTTTATCGGGCTGGTTTGTGGGGAGTTCCACCTTGGCACTGGCACCAGCCGCTTGGAACGGCCTCGCTCCAACACTGAGCTGGAAGCTCTGAAAGTAAACAGGCATTGGCTGTTAACTCTGTACCTCTGTCTGACCTCAAAACAATCAATTCAGTTACAATTCAATACATTATGAAATCTTACGTTGTAATCATAAAATTACACAGTTATACCACTAGAGCAGGGGTCTCCAATCCTAGTCCTGGAGAACTACCTTCCTGCAGAGTTTAGTCCTATCCTGTATCCAGTAAGATACCCCGTCCCTTACTGAACTTTAATACAGCCAATCCAGCCAATCGGGGACCTGGGAAGAGGTTAGCTGGAACAGGGGTGGGCAACTGTGGTTAGAGCTAGGCTCTGCAGGAAGGTAGCTCTCCTGGACCAGGGTTGGAGACCACTGCCCTAGAGATCTTTGTTTATTTAATCTGGGATTGACAGTATTGTTGTTTGTGTGGACAGAGTTGTCGGACAGTGACTGAACATGACTCTAAATCAACAAATGAGTTTAGAGTATTGAACTCTGTCATCTGTTACTTTGGACTTGAACACACTGGCCATCAACTCCATATCCAGGTTTGATTTACCGAAAGGCTGAAGATATTCAATCTTTGCCTGCTTAATGTATCCATTAACTTGTTGTTAAGAAGGAACACTGAGAGGAACCAAGACTCATGCTCTTAGGGACTTTTTCCAGGACTCATGCTTTTAGGGAAGTTTTCCTTGGTTTCCCTCAGAGGTTCTTCCTCATGCTTTAGGGAGTTTCTTCTTTTGCCTCTTGGTTTCTCTGTGTGGTTCTCCTTCATTGTCTTAGGGAATTTTTCCATTTGAGTCTTGGTTCCCTCATGCTCTTAGGGAGTTTCTCCTTTGGAGTCTTGGCTTCTCTCAATGGTTCTTCTTCATGCTCTTAGAGAGTTTTTCGTTTTTCCTGATGGTTCATGGTTCCTCTTAGTTGTTCTTCCTCAATACTCCTAGGGAGATTTTCCATTTGAGTCTTGGTTTCTCTCCATGATTTATCCTCATGCTCTTAGGGAGTTTCTCCTTTTGAGTTTTGGTTCATCTCAGTGGTTCTCCTTCATTCTCTTAGGGAGTTTATCTACTTATTCAGTAAAGCTTATTGTGGTGCTGCACCAGCATTTCTGGAACGCTGAAGGGTTAACTAAGTTTCATAGTAGTTTCACAGGAGCTGAATAATCCATAAAAGCTACCGAACAATAAATCTAAAGATTAATAACTAAAAAATAAGCCTGCATTTTATCCCCTTAAATGGCCAGGGCCTTCTGTAAGATGTCATAAGCCTGGGATTTTAAGCAGTTTTGAATTGAACTGGTATTTGTTGTGAAGCACTGAAATGCATCTGCCTAATGAATTAAGTTGATTCACATTGAGACGGAGTCCTATTTGTGTGCATTTTCCAAAATAATGGGAATTCTCAGGCCTGATTGCATATCGTTTAAAAGATTTTATAAACAGTTGTGAATAAGAGCGTCTATG